CTCGTATGGAACTTGATGATGAAGAATTATCTTTCGAAAAATCGGCTAAATTAATGGCTCTATTATCGCTGATGAATATCTTCATCCATGTTCCTGCCGGTGGTTTTAGCCTGTTCATACGAGAAAATTTTTGAGGAATTCGCGTGAACAAATCCTTATCATAAGTTGCATTTTATACATACTTTTTTAACTGAGACATTCGATTTTTTATCCTGTAGGTATAATAAAGTCATTAAAAAATACTCATAAATTTCAAGACAACATTTTATATCAAAAAAATTATATTGTTATATTCTAACCTTTGACAACGATAATTTCTTCCGCTTTGGTTGACGGATAAAATCATCATTGGACTAAATACAAAGAGAAAGAGTTAGTTTCTAACAGACAATCACTATCTCACAACTTCCAGCTAAAAAAAATTACGCATTTGTACCTCTCTTTTTGATAATCCAGTGAAAGTTCCGCTGTTGATATTACTATTAAAACCAACTACATTTCCATTTCCGATAATTGGCTGGTTGATTTAAGTTTTACCACGCGAGCGCTTCTCCTCCCACTCTCTTGCTTTTTTGCGGTCTTGTTTTGGATCCTAACATGGAAGATTTAGAATTAGTAACATTCTTTGACTCAAATCTATTCGATTTCCCGCCCCATCAGAACATCACGCAACCGAGAAGGTCACCTGTGCCCCAGTGGATCCGATGTTGGATCGGCAAGAAGCCTTTGGCATCAGATAACTCAAGTGAGGTCACTGGTGCGCCAACACCAGTTTCGTGGCTCGGCAAAAAGCCTTGAATGAACGCCTACCAAGAAGGTCCACGTCACGCCACTTTCTTCAGCTAATAAAAAAAGATTAGTACTCGCCTTTTGATAATTGTCAAGTAGCACCTGAGCACTTTTCTTCTTGTTGTCTTGCTCGCAGTAAACGATTTGTTTGAGCCCTTTTATGTAAGAATCTATTTTCGTTTCAAAAGGCTCTAGTTCGCATTCATTTAGAAACCCGAGAATGCTCCAATTCGCAGGAACTTGGTCGAAATATTTGTGTAGTTTAATTTCATTAGACATTGCGAAGTCGTGGATAAAAGGATTTGTACTTGTACTTAGCATCACAAAATCAGATCAACTCACGCGGTTAACGTATTAGGAAATTATTCTCGAGCTGTCACAACTCACAAGGGTGCAGTGGCGCAGTAGAGATCAGACGAGAATCACGTTTTACAATACGGCATATGAAAAAGTGCTGATCGGGTGATGAGTGTGCAACTGCGAACTTGAGTTTATTGCTTGAATTGTTGCAGGTAAGACAATATTCCAACTTATCTTGAGATCATAAGGGAACTGATTCCCATTCTCGCAGTACCATGAGCCATGTAATCCATAATTTCCATGTTTTCCATCACAAATAGGGCACGGCGAGTTCCACGGCTGAGCAGATACAAAATTATAATTATCAATCCCTCTGAAACTATTTCGGAATTTCAAGTATGTGAAATACTCTAACACGGATTTGATAATTAACTCTGAATCAGGTTTGGCTTCAAAGGTGATAGGCCCTTTTTCTTCACATTGCTCAGAAAAAGATAAATCAGATACTTTGTTTTCTGGCTTCAAATTTATGAGAAGGTGACCTTCTGATAATTGCCATGGCTCAAGTCCCATTTCTCTTTTATATTTTTTGTAGAAGCTGGAACGGATCTTATCCGTCAAAATGCTTGATAATCCACTTAATTTGGTATGCCAATCCAGATATTTGAGAGTTAATATTTTATTGGACTTGATCATGTTTCTTTTATATGATCACAAATCAATTTAAATTAGGTAATAGTAGACATAAATTAGCCCTAAAAAAATATCATAATGGAGCGTGAGCAAATATAGAGTTATGCAATGCGCTTCTAGCCAAAGTGATCAAACCATGTAGTTATCTCAATTTCATGCTGTTCACATTTAATAAAATAAGATCTAGCTTTATATCTACCTTCTAAATTTCCCTTCTAATTATGCTCTAACTTGCATAATGAGCATATTTTCTCATTGGTAATTCCACAATAATCAAAATTTTCACTATTAAATTCTTTATATAAATCAGAATATTGATCCAATATCTTGTTGCGAAAATAGGTGTGGTTATAGGTTGACTTGGATTTGGATGCAGATAATACATTTGCTGATGTATTTACTCCTAAGAGATTTACTTATATCTCAGTCTTATTGGTTTTTGAAGTCACATGTCCATTTCAATTTAGAACAGAGTTTTTATAACCTACATTATCTGTATTAGTAGTTTTTTTGGGAAAATCATTTATAATATTTTGGATCTGATTATCATATAAATTTAAGATAAAGCTTGCGCTATAGCTAATTATTTGGATTTTATTTATTCCTATCTTATCAAACAATATATAGATTTTTTTAGTTTTAAAAGTTATTTTACGCAAGTTTACATTAGTAATGTCAAGAAAAAGGGATATGATTTCATTGTATACCAATGTTCTTGCTGATTTATCATCAACACCATTTTTAGACTTAATATCCCTGACTCAATCCTCATATGTTTTATAGTAACAATACTAGCATAAAATCTCCTTACATTTAAGCTTCATTGCTACTCTAAATAGATCAACTATATTCTGTGTAATAACTTCACTAGATTCTATCAGAATTGCTTCTAAAGAGAGTTTAGAAATCTAAATATTAAACATCTTATTAATCTTATCATCATCAACTTCAGTAAAGAATAGCTTTTGTCTCAAATCTTACTTCACTTTTTGATTATAAGGAATTTTTGACACTCTGTCTCTATGTTTTTAAAAGCTAGAACCTGTTTGTCTGCCATAGACGATTTTACTGATGATGTTCTAACAGATGATTTGTTATTAAAGGTAACTAACTGACAAGTTGGAATTAATTCTTTGACTACCTGTTCTGAGATAATTACAAGTTCAGCGCTAGTCATGAAGAGGTCCTCCTCACAGTGAGTCAAGTCTGAAGTAATAGAGGATAAGTCTTTGGCAATCATCTTATCCTGAACCTTCTTTTCTCATCTGTTCTCTTTAATTTTATCACTAATGCTTTTCTTATTTACCTTAATTAAGAAAGCATCTATCTCCTTTTCTTCTAATGTTTTGACATCATCATTATTTTGCTGGGCCATAAGAACAGCTTGAACCCAATATAGCATTGACTTGATCAAATTATAGTAATATTCTACGGGTATCGCATCTCACTCCTCTTTAACTCACTATTCTAACTGCCTAACACTTGATGGCTGGAAATCTCGTTGACGGATCTTGACCTCAATATATGACTATATATTTTCTATTGGATTGATATCAGGGCTTTGGGCCAGTTAGGAAAGCACTTCAACATTTGAGAATGTGAGGAACGAATGTGTGATTTTTGCGGTATGCACAGGCGCATTATCTTCTTGAAAAAAAACCTTTTTTTAAACTTTTTTGCATGAAACTTGACTGTAGGAATAGCATAATTAGCCAAAATGTCATGATGTATAATTCTAGTAATGTGACCTTCTAAGGGGACCAAAGGACCTAAGCTAACCCAGGAGAAACATCCCAGAACATGCGATCAAAGCTCTTTTGGACCGTAGCTGCAATGCAGTCTTCATGAAACTCTTCAGAAGATTCACATCATATTCGTCTAAAACCTGAAGTTCTAAATTATGTGTAAGTATTCTCGTCTGATCAGATAACTCATTTAAAATCTTCTACTGTCCAATTTTCATAAGTACAGGTCCACAAATAACGTTTTTCCTATTACTTTCAGAAATTAAAGAACTGAAATGAGGAATTCAGGAATGGAGATTTTCTTTAGCTAATTCATTTCGAATGGTTTGTATGAAAATGAGTTTGTTTGTTTCATTTATAAATTTAACGTATTTGAGAAAGGGTTTGACGACGGGTTTTTTTATTCTTAACCACCAAACTTTTGAGATATTTGTGTTCAGTTTCGTTAAGAATTCGTGATCGACCTAAACGTTTCTTTGGAAGGCTATTTAGCTCGTATAACTCCTAAACACGTCGAACAGAGAAACGAGAGCAATTTATGACTGCAGAAATCCTAGTATTTATGTGTTCTAATTTTTTAGCTATGATAATAGCTCCTTTTTGGCTCTCACTAAGTTCCTTTCCATGACACATCCTTGCGGTAAATTTTTTTTCACTAATAAAAAAGTTTTTTTTTGTATGACCATATGACTAACTTTACATTATACAATGGCAATTTTTTTATTTTGATTATTTACATAACAATCACGTGTAACTTAAAATAAAAAAAACTGCAACTTAATTTAGAAGGGATGTGATAATACGCGTCTCACTTGTATCATATTAGGTGGCCAATACTTTTTATATTTCCCTGTATACTATGAAAAGATTATATGACCTCTTCAGGACTAAAGATAGCACCTCAATTAGTTGCAATAGGTGACAAATAAGCATCACAATGTTGCAACGAATTGCAACATTATTAAAATTTAAGTTGCAACAGGTAACAAATAA